ATGTAAATCTTGCAGTCCCTATTTAAACATTATAAACAAGACAAAAGTTTGAATTCCAACCAGCACTTATCAATCCAAAACCAAGTTTACTTGTACTGAACTGACAAGTTATGGCTTTCCACACTCCATTGCGCTAGTGCAGCCTTGAAAGGAACTAGAGATGCTCTGAACCCACATCCTGAAATGTAAATATAAAGTCACTGAGAGGGGGTGAATATACTATTCTAGAAAGAAATGCAAAATATGTTCTAAAGCATATCCATATATCTTTTATTACTGTAAAAAATAAGCTAGAAATTAATTTTAAAAAGGAGAAAAATACTCCAACATATTATCAAACACATTATGAACAAAAAGAATATTATTCTCAAATAATTTAGTGAAACAAAATTTTCAAACAAATAACATTAGAATATGAATCAAACATAAATTTTAAAAGAACAAAAAATCAAAGTTAAAACCCTAAACCACAATAATGAAAAGGGGGAAAATATTGTCTAATGAGTTAGGGTTAAGGAGTTTGGATTGAAGGAAGATGGAAGGGAAGTGAATACCATTGTGGCAGTGGGTCGGCGGAAGTTCACAAGTTGGAAATCGACCCTCCATGTCGGACTCGTTCACGGGTTGTCGGCCCTGTAACTTCCTGGTCGCGGTAGCATCCATGTGGTGACGAATCCAGTTAACAATGGCTTCCAGGTCTGCAACGCTCCTATTAAAGACCACATAGACAAATTAAATGACTTGTTACTATTAAAATGGGAAAGGATTGCAATGAAAATGAAGAAGAAAGATGAGAAAGCGAGGCTGCAGAAGAGAGGAGAAAGGGCGCAGAGAAGAAAGAGGAAAAGGAGAGAAGTGGAGAGAAAAGGGGTAAAAAAAATAAAAATGGAATAGTAAAAAGTATGAAGTATTTATAGGGTGTACACTTTGTGTACACTTAGTGTACACAACGCATTTTCGTTAAAAAAAAAAGGTTGTTTGTAGTTGTTCACTTGACTATTTTCCCTTTTATTTGAGTTTAATATAAGAGTGAATTCACAAAATAGGAGTAAAAGATGAGGTAAAAGCAAAAGCGGGATTTATAGTTTTAAATTTCTTTAATAGGACTAAATATTTGTGTCTTGACAAAAGTAGCCTTAGAGCCCGTTTGGAGACCCCTTTTTTCGGCTTATCAGGCTTATCAGCCAGCTTTTTCACCAAACACGTAATTTTTACTTTCGCGTGCTGAATTGGGTAATAAGCAGAAAAAGTAAGGTTGTAGTTACTTTTCTGGCTGTATTGGCTGAAGTTACTGTAGATGACCATTTTAGCTATTTTTACATGTAATTTTTTCTTTATTTTGTTAATAAAATATATTTTTAAAATATTTTTTTCTAGAATCAGCAGAATCAGCCAAAACAGCCACTTCAGCCAGAACTTCATAAATTTCAGCAGAAACAGCCAAAACAGCCGATTTTTGTGCTACCAAACGGGCTCTTAATGAATTGTCGTAACATCATTAGCGCATTGCAGCCAACATCCAAGTCGATCTGTTCTAAAATAATCAAATCTGCTGTAACATCATCGGCACATCGTAACCATCCTCCAGCAAGTCTGTTGCGCACATCTGCCACCCTAAGCTGAGTTCATTGCTGCCATCCTCGGATGAAGCTGCCACCATCCTCTGGTGAAGCCGCATCCCTCCAAGAAGTCATTGTAAGGCTTGAGAGAGAATGTCATCTTCATAAGAATAATGATATAAAAATGACATTTTGCTATAAAAAAATATGACATTCTCAAGTGTTAAAGTATAAAATTTTAGAAAAGAAATTATGTAATTTTTTAGATGAAAAATACTGACATCGTTTGGAAAACATGTAAAAAAAACTTGTCATTTCTAATAACAAATAGTTATGTCATTCTCAGATAGGCCATTAAAATGCCATAAAATGTCATAAGAATGACATTTTCTTACGGATGTATGACTGTTTCAGATTGTCATCCTGATAAAAAAAATATTGCCACAAATATGTCAGTTTTTTCAAATAACCAATAATTTTGACATTCTCAGGTCAGAAAAGTGACATTTCTCAAATCAACATAAAAACCATAATTAAATAATTTGAATGTTTTAAAATAAATTAATCATAATTAATATAAAATTGAAAATCAAATTAAGAGAATAAAAAACAGAGGAGGTGTGAGCACGTCAAGATGAAAAGTGCCCAAAAAGAAAATAGAAGAAGAACAAGAAAGAAGAGAAGAAGAATAAGAAAGAGGAGGAAGAGAAAGAAAAGGGAAGGAGGGTTACCTGACTTCATCGGAGGAATTGCAGATGTGAAGTGTGATTCCGTAGGAGGAATTGAATAGCTATCGCCGGAAAATGCATATGCCGTCAACTAGTCAAGTGTGGTTGGGTAGCAGTCCGTCTGTGATGGGGAAGAAGGAGATCGCAGCTCCCAAATCAGAAGATGCGGTAGCGTAGATCTAAAGTCTGAGGCGTTGATTTTGGGTTTAATGAAAGGGAGGGCAAAAATGTAATGTGGAGTCCCATTTAGAGAATAATAAACTTATACTCCTATTTTTGAGTTTTGCTAATGTTTTAGTCTCATTTAGGACAATATCTTTTAATATAATTGTTTTGAAAAAAATCAAGAATACTCCAGTCTACGTATCAAACATGGCTCCAAACTTGGCAGTAATTATTCATAGTTTCGGAATAAAAATATGACAGCCCAATTTTGGAATTTTCAATTTTTTTACCGTGCAGAAGAATGGGATTGGATTACAACCGAAACGTATAGAGAGGAGAGCTCTCGCTTCTCTCTAAAACCTAGCGGCCGTCTCCCATCATTGTAGGAGTTGAGATTTTCCGCCGCCCCATCAATGTGAGGTTGGAGTGGTAGATTATTCTGATTTTAAGTGTTCTGATGTTTGGGATTGCAACTATGTCGGAGGAGATAACGTTGGTGGATGAACGGATTGCAGATGAGATTTTGGATCGGTGTTGTATCATGAAATCTTGGTTGGCCGCTTCGACGGTGATTGAGTTTGTATTCATACATATTGCAATAGCTCGTCCTCCTCCAGAACCACCTCCAAAGCAGGAAGAGTTTTGCGGAAAGATTTTATTGCAATATTATTTTCTCTTTAGTAGTGCTAGTTTTAGTTTTAGTCAGAGTGGATTTGGTTTGAATTAGGGCTGCACATCGGGCGGGTTGGGTCGGGTTTGCTATATTTTTTGGGCCTACCCAATTTGTTCGGGTTGACTATTAACCAACCCGCGGCACACAAAATAAGTTGATAAACCATGCATGAACGGGTCGGGTATTGGGGAAAAAAATCACTTCGGGTTGCATCTTTCATGTGGGAAATTAATGTAACCAATTTAAAACTCGATTAACTTGTTTCCAAAACACACAAACAAATACAAGTACTCGTACCCTTTATAAGCAAAAACATTAGGTAATAGTATTAAAACATCCTTCCGTAAAGGAAGTTCATTTAAAAGGAAACGTAAATATATAATAATCACCTAGTCAAAATGATAAATGTTTAACTATAATTCTAATATCATAAAGTCCTATATAGAGCACATTGGTCTTAAATTGAAATAATCCAAGAAAACGTTGTAGCATAATAATAGTAAAATGAACTTCGGCCGGGTCGGGTACTATCAGGTTTGAGATTTTAATTCCGCAACCCTACCCATTGGGTGCAGGTTCAAACATATTTAACCCATGAATATTTCTAAAAATCAAATACCCGATTAAATAGGGTCGGGTAGGGTTGGGTCGGACGGGTTATGCGGGTTCGGGTTATTCTTGTGCAGTCCTAGTTTGAATGTTTGGATTTTCGGAGTTATTTTGATAGACATGTTTTCAGATCTGTTCGTTTTAGGCTTAAATTTGTCCGTTGCAGGTTTAGCGAGTCAGGTTGCTTTGTTCTTATTTTAATATAAAGCCGCCTATTTTACTATGAAAAACAAATTTTGGAATTTCCCTTAACATTTTGATAAGATGAATTACTCACATATCGAGAAGTGCTCTATAGGCTATCTTTGGTACATTTTAGGACATGTGTAAACCGTAAAGCACCATCATACATACATTTACTTGTCAAGTTTTTAACATTAATTTTTTTTTAATGTGAAAACTTGAAAAATAAAATCTTCCAAACCCAGCAACACATCATATCGATCTTCAACATTTTGTAAATATTTTGGATTTCACCTACCCGGTAAATCACTGTATAGAAATAGAAAAAACATATTAATACAGCTCATTTTCATTGAGATTTTAGGACTTCTAGTAGAAGGGCAGAAAGTTTCAATCATTCAATAAAATAAATATAGGAGGTTGCGACTTCAACCAACAAATGTGCCGAATCTCCCCAACCAGACGTGAGACGCCCCCACACTCATAACGGACAAAATGGTGAAAAATAAATCATAAAATGATCTAAAACAGTTTCTAATTTAGGGTCTTGTGTGCACAAAGAGCCATTACATTGGGTGAAACTCTTCTCACACTATCACTATTATTAGAAATTGAAGTCGAGACCTCAACCAACTGTCTCACACGACCATCGTTGAACTACTTGTGCGAGTGAGATGTTTCGACTTCGACATAAATGGTGGGTGATGATTTTATGACGTGGTAGAATCGTTGGCGTGTCCTCTACCCATGACAAATTAATTTACTGGCTCAACTTGTTAATCTGTCTTTTGAGATTTAGAAGGTGATCTTCCCAGTGCTTACATTTATTTTTAATTGCTCAGCATTGCTGGAAAAAAATCTCAGACTTTCCCGCTTCGTAAATCGCAAAGTTAAGATATACACTAAGAAATTAATGTAAACATGAGAGCACATGATTTAAATTCTCCAATATGGAGATTCTTCCACTATACAAAAGAATAGTAGGATTTTTTTTTAATGAACGAAAGTTTTATTAATGCAAAAACAAAAAATGAGAGTACAAGAAAGAAACCTGATAAAAAAAGGATCTTACCTAAAAGCCAACCCGAATTACAACATATGAAAAGCTCCCTAAATATCATAGCTCCCTAAAATATCATAGCTCCGTCAATATTGCCGAGCTCCATGCGTGACTGCGATCTCGTTCTCATGAGATGGGACCGACCATTTCCATGAGAGTGATCCTCACCCTACCTGAGAAGATCCATCTCAAAGTTAGAATCAAATTTACCTGGATCCCCCGAGCCTGTGGAGTTGCCAAAAACGTATTTGTTGATGTAAAATCTTTCATCAAATTATAAGCTTTTGTAATCCCTGCCAGGAACCGTTTAATTCCCATTCCATTTCGTCCTTCAGGAATAAATAACGATTCACCACCCTTTTTGATAAGGCGAAAGAAGCCGCCAAAGAAGTTGACATCATACAAAAGGAGCAGACAACTTTTCATCTCAAGCTTATTACATGACCAAGTATCAAAGAGAAGTTTGGCCGTTTGGGAATGCTGCTTATCAATGATGTTACAAAATTGTTTCACTCAATGGTGGTTCACTCAAGCTTGAGGATAAAAACTTCACAAGCTAACTTTCTTCTCTCTCAGAAAGGCTCTATAACTCTCTAGCTTTCTCTTGCTAGGATGGATAGGAATGGAGGCTCCTACTCCTATTTATACTACCCCACCTCTATAATGAGTGGTGGAGATGGTTCTCTAGAATGATCTACACATGACTACTTATTCTAGAGAATTCCAAGGAATCTCTACACCTCTTCATTCCCTTCTATATATTTTCATACTCTTCCATAAGGTTCCGGAAGGTTCCACACATCTCCATAATATTCCAGAGAATTCCACACAATTCCACAAGTTTTTAGAGAGTTCTAGACTTCTCTAAGATTCTCCGGAACGTTCTAGAAAATTTTACACTTCTATAGAAAGCTATAGAATTTTTTACAACCTCTTCAATTAAGGAGGGATCCCAACAAGAATCACATACATGACCAAAGCAAGTACATATTGCTTAGTATACTAATTTTTTGTCATCTTTCTGTTATTTTTAACAATAAAGTTATGTATAGTAACAAAAGTAGGAATTTGAATAAAAAATGTGCTAAACAAACAAATTGATGGTACAAAAATGCGAGAAAAATTGAATTGACTCGGAGTCCGTTTGGTAACACTAAAATCGACTAAATTGGCTGATTTTGCTGAAATTTATGAATTTCTAGATGAAGTGGTTGTATTGGCTGATTCTGTTGATTCATGAAAAAATTATACTTAAAATATTTGTTATACTCCCTCCGTCCCGCAAAATAGTTCCCGGTTTCCTTTTTGGGCCGTCCCAAAAAATAGTTCCTCTTTCCCCTTTTGGAAAGTTTTGTGTGACTCACATTCATTTATCTTTTTCTTATACAACCACAACCATACATTTCTACTTTATTCCCAGTTTCTTAAACTCCGATCCAAGTCAATGCGGAAACTATTTTATGGGATGGAGGGAGTAATAAATAAAATAAAAACTTATATGAAAAAATAACTAAAATGATCATCTACATTAACTTCAGCGAATACAACTAGAAAAATAACCCCATCTTTACCTTTTCTGCTTATTACATAATTCAACGTGCGAAATTAAAAGTTACGTGCTGTTGGAAAAATGTGTTAAAATTGCATTAAATGATAATTTTGGGACAATTTTTTGAGTGGGGTCCACTTCTGATTAGGGTTGGGTCAAAGTGGTTTCGGATTGTCCTTGCTAAGGGCTACAATTCGATATATGGTACACTCAAAACGGCTTACGGGTGGATGAGAAATTGATTCTCGAAATTTGTTCGTTGGAATGGAAAAACTGGGAAAAAGGATGAGTTTCTAGTGTGTTATTTTCCACACCGGAAAACCCAAGGGAATTTGAACCCCTTATAAAGGGAAACCCCCCTTAAGGAGTTAAGATTCCTTAGGGTAAAGGCTCTCTTTCGCGCGCAGGGGGGTGCGAATCAGATCCCGAAATGGAGAAGAAAAACCGCGTCTTGCGAGCGCGGGCGACCTGCGGACACGAATGTCGTCTAAAAATCTATCTCTAAAGAGATACGGTTTATTTTTGTTTCTTCCCGTAATGTTTATTTTTTCCCAAGTGTGTGCTGTTATGATCGCTCCAGAACAGAAGACGTATGGGCTCTTCTACTCGTTGGCCTTCTGTCCGGAAACAGAAGACGTTGGGTCTTTTGTCCGTTGCGGCAACAGAAGGCATTCTGGTCTTCTGTCTGTTGTGGCAACAGAAGGCGTCCTGGTCTTCTGTCTGATCGCGTACTGAACCGTTACAGCAATAAATGCTAAATGTTCTTATCTTTTAATGCAGCGTTAAATGGACAGTTCATGGACGATTCAATGCCCAACGGACTGGTCATTAATGTCCAACGTTCATGTCCATTAATTCACCATTTACACAACAACAAATCCTCTTATATAATGGTTGGCAGGTGGTTTGCAGCAACACACGTGTTTACACATTCCTCACGTATTTCTAAGCTCTAAAACACCTCCAGCATTCCGAAAATATTCTCAGTGTTCATACCGTGTTTCCGTTTGCTGGAACTTTCATTTGTGTGCTCAAACATTAGTTCGTAGTCATCGTATCCTGTGAAACGGTCGTTGCAACGCTCCTAGCACCGTGGGAGGCGACGAATACATTTTAAGGACGAGCTTTTACTAATTTCTGCTTCATCTTATTTATGTTTTTCTTTCGTCATTTTACTTAATTTATTTTAATTAATTTTCATTTTCTGAAACACACCCAACACGTGCTCGATAAAAAATTGGCTGATAAATCTGATAAGTCGAAAAAGGGGTGGGCTTTAAGTACACTTATTAAATTGTTTGTAAATAAGTTGATTGATAATTACATTTATTTGAAAAGTAGCGGTCCAACTAGGGGTGGTTCGGTACGGTATACCAAAGATTTTATCTCATACCTTTACCATACTGTAAACTTTTGGTAGGCAAAAATACATACCGTTACCATACCTAAATTTCGGTATACCTTGTTTCGGTATACCTTGTTTCGGTATACCAAAATTTCGGTACGGTAAGCTACGGTATCGGTAAATTATCATGATTTAATATCAAATTATTATATATCAAATGAAATATAGAAAATTAGTGTTAATAGTGATATACTAATTTTTGTAATGAAATTAATTATAAAATACCAATGATAACCTATTTGTGTTCTATTCAACTTTGAACAAAAAAATATTATAAATATGTACGGATACTTCAACACATGATATATGAAGATAACAACACATTCTGCTAAAATAATAATTTAAACAACATAAATATATTTGAAATGACATCGATCTCCAACAAAAAGTATAAATAATTCAAGAAACATGGATATAAAGCCATACACTACAACAAAATGAGCCTTTTGTAACACAGATATATTGTTACATTAGATGGATAAAATGTTACAAAAAGTTTAAGCAACACTTTTATGAGCGTTGCTTCAGGTCTCGTTGCATAAAGTCATATGCAACACTTTTTAACATTTTATGTAACATTGAGAAAAGATGTTACAAAAACAAACCATATGCAACACTTTTTTACAAAAGCTTAGTTTGCATCTTATGCAACACTTTTTTTTAATAATATGCAACACTTAAAATATGACTTTAGGCAACATCAATCTTATGTTTATGTAACTAGGCATGGACCCGGTCGGGCCTCGGGTCCTATAAGGGTAGGCCCGGGACCGGCCCGGTCAATGACCGGTTCCGGTTCGGGCCGGGTCACCCGCCCGGGTCACGGGTCGGGCCACCCGCCGGGCCGGGCCGGGCCGGGTCAATAATTTTTTTTTTTTTATATTAATTATATATTATACAAATTGCTATTAAAAACAAAGTTCAAGTGCATTTATTTGAAATAAGAACTACATTTGAGAATTGAGAAAAAAATAACAATACGAAATACATTTTGTAATGAATATCAATTGGGATTTCCGCCACCGTTGGTTGTTGTTTTCCCTTTGTCACAAGACTTCATATGTTTTATTGGCATCCCGTATCCGTATGAACCCCCCAAGCAACACTCTTTCTTGCACCACCTGCAAGTTGCCCACCACAGTCCGGTCTTCGGGTCCTTCCACTTGTCAAAATTGTTTTGCATAAGAGAAGATGTACTTTCCATATTTAAAATGGTATATGTATAACACTATAAGTAATTAAGTAGGAATGTAGGATAATAAGAGAAGATAAAGATGGAGAAGAGTTTGAGAAGAATTGGAGAGAAGGTGTAGAAAAATGTTAGAAAATAGATGTATTTATAGGTGTTTTTGAACCCCACTCCCCACACCACCACCCCCGGGACCCCCCTGCCCCCCACCCATAGCCCCAACGGCTATATAGCCGTTTGGGAGCTTTGAAATTTTTTTTTTTTTTTTTTTTAAGTTATACACATATTGTAAAATAAATTAATTAATTTAATGAATTAAGTAAAACTAAAACAAATGTTACAAAATAGGTGTATAAGTATTTAAACAAATTACATATTCTAAATGTATTTTTAATTTAAAAACCGGCTTTATATTTTAGAAAAATAATTTTAAGTCGTTAGATTGTAACCAATTAATTAATTTGAGAAGTGCTACATATGAAAAAGTGAACACATATTTATTTGAAATATGAAGTACAAGTTTACAAATTAATTTGAACTACAACTACAAATTTACAATTTTGAAATATGAAGTACAAGTTTACAATTTTGAAATATGAAGTACAAGTATAAATAAATTTGACAAGTGCTATAAAATACATTTTGTACTAAATTCTAAAATACTAATCAATCGGAATCTCCGGCATAGGTAGAGCCACCATCGGTTGTTGAGTCATCCATAAAATCTTGGGAGGGGGTGATGCTCAATTCTTGAGTTCTACGTGCGGCCTTCAACCAATCGTGGTAGCATATAAGCGTCTCAAGAGACTCCGCGCTCAATCTCGATCTAGATGCCGTTAGGACGTTGCCGGCCGAACTAAATTCTTGTTCCACCGCAACTGTTGAAACCGGCATTGATAGTACTTGCTTAGCCATCCGTGCTAAAATCGGGAACGTTCTTTCTTTTGACTTCCACCAGTCTAGAACGTCAAAGTCATCATTTTCTTCAAAATCAACTTCATATGTTAAATACAAAGTAATCTCATTCAATGCGCTTTGTTCAGTGACGTGAGTTGTTTTAGTTTTTTTCATAAGATTGCCAAATGCAGATTTAAAAATCGATTTTCCTTTAGATGAAGATGTTCGTGACGGGGGAGGGGGAGCGTTGCTATATTGTGCACGAAACTCATTAAATAAGGCATAAAATAAAGTACTAACCTCGTTGTATTCCGTTTTCGGATCTATGGGGTTATCCTCATACATTGGAAATTCACCGAAAAACGCAAGATAATAGAAGTTGAAACAATCTTCCAAATTAGCAAGTCTATAACGAGGATCGAGAATAAATGCAATACCATAAATATGGGGAATATGCGCATAATATTTTAAAAACTTTTCCTTCATATGATCACAAAAATAATGAACGAAAACGGCATTTTGAAATTCTTTAAAAGCATCGGCGAGATTAACAGCTTGTGGAATAAATTGGTTTGCGGTAGGTTTATAAACATGACTAAAAGTTTCAGTAGCATTAAAAAAATATATCAAAACATTACAAATTTTTTCGCAAGTGTCGATCTCAGCCGCGTTTATAATATAGTTATCATGTTCTTTTAAAAAAGCAGGAAAATGTTCTTTATATCTAAGAACAACTTTAAGTAATTTATAAGTACTATTCCAACGAATACTCAAATCTTTAGGAAAAGCAACATATCTCACACCTCTTTCAGTCAAATAACTTTGCCATTTTAATCTAAGTTGACCATTACCCCAAATACGTCTAACCCCCCCCTTTATTACCTCCATGGAATCTCCTAACGCTTTTAAACCGTCTTGCACACATAAATTTATAACATGACATGCACACCGTTGATGAAAAAATCTACCCATCAAAGAATTGGCACCACACAACTCACGCAATCTAGGTATAGCAGCAGTATTATTAGTAGCATTATCGAAACCAATAGCAAATACCTTATCAATCAAATTATACTCAATTAAAATACGCTCAATCAAAATATAAATATGTTCAGCGGTGTGACGATCATTAAATTCACGAAAAGCAAGAACACGTTTATGCATATTCCAATCCTCATCAATATAATGTGCAGTCAGACCCAAATAATATAAATGATGAAAATCATCCTCCCATATGTCAGAACAAATAGTAACACGCCCATCAAAGTTTGCAAAAAAATTTTGTAACCTTTCCTTTTCCGCATTATAAAGCCTTATTATTTCTTTCTTAACAGTTTTGCGACTATAATTTCTAAATTGAGGATTTAAACTACCTTGTGCATAATCTCTTAAAGCAAGACTTTCAGAAAACAAATAAGGCAAATTTTCTTCACAAATTAAGTTAGCCATACCAGTCAAATTTTGTGCATCATTGTAGGCGAAATTACCAAAAGGTTGAGAATTCGCAAACCTCGATATTTGAGTTTGCTTCCCCGTTCCGCCGCCTAATTTTGCGTACTCCACGGGGTGCTTTGACTTAAGATGCCTTGCGGCGGATCCGTATCCGCCGGAGGTTCCCAAACTATAATTGTTGTTGCACCACTTGCAAGTTGCGTGCCAATAGCCAGTTTGTGGGTCCTTCCATTTATCAAAATTATTTTGCATTAATTCAGACTTACTTTTTTTATTACCGGTGGCGGTTTGGGATGAGGCAGGCGCGTCGGCGTCGTGGCTGCCGGCACCCTCCTCCTCGGCCGTCTCCGGTTCCAATTCCTCCGCATCTTCATCCTCAAGCTCCTCTTCGTCAATGGTCGTCGGCATTTGTTGTTGTTGTAGAAAGCGGTTATTATGTCGGGCCAATTCTTGTTGGAGTTGTTCTTCGGACATCGCATCTCCATCTCGCCTTTGGTAACCCGTTTCAAAATCATCTCGGCTTTGAGATGAAGACCCGGCAAGTTCTTTACCTTTGCGGGATTTCTTCCTCCCAATCTCGTTTCTTCGATTGCGTTGGAGGTTACCCAAATCAACCGAATATCTACCACCTTCCATCTAAAAAATGTAACAAATATTAATTCACAACAAATATAATAATGGATACAAAACTAATGCAACTAATTAAAACTATTTTAATTAATACTTCAAACTAATTTTTTGCAAAGTAGAATTAATGTGTGTCTCTACAATTAAAATTATAGCAACTTTTGAAGTAAATAACTAGTACAAGTAAAAATGTAACAACAATGCTAATTAAGTAGTTAACTAGTATAGTGACAAATGTAACAAACTAACAACTAGTTAAATAAAATGTGAAGTATTTTAATTAGTATAATGAAAAATGTAACAAGAATGGTATTGAAGTATTGAACTAATTAACTAGTATAATGAAAAATGTAACAAGAATGGTATTGAACTAATTAACTAGTATAATGAAAAATGTAACAAGAATGCTAATTAAGTAATTAACTAGTATAATGAAAAATGTTACAATAATGGTAATGAACTAATTAACTAGTATAATGAAAAATGTAACAAGAATGCTAATTAACTAATTAACTAGTATAATACTAGTTATAGTAAGTAATATATAATATAATGTTTATATTATATAATATATAAGTATACTATACTATACGATGAGTAATACACTTATATTTTATACTTTAATATATAAATATATATTAAGTAGATGTAGAATGTATGTATTAAGTGGATATAATAATTGTATAAGAATTAAATATTAGAGTATAATGGAGAATTGGAGATTGGAAAATAAGTATATATAAAATATAAGTAGAGAAGTAGATATTATTATGTATTAAGTATATAATAATAGTTTATAAAGTATATTTAATACTTTATTATATAAAGTATATATTAAGTAGATATAGTATGTATGTATGTATTAAGAGATATAAGTAGAAATTAAGTAGATAAGAAATATAAGCAATATAGTATATGTAGATAATAATATATATAAGTAGATAATTAATATATAAGTAGATATAATAATTGTATAAGTATTAAATAGTAAAATAAAATATAAAGGAGAATAAGAGAATTAGAGAAGATGAATATGGAGAATTGGAGAATGGAGATGAGTAGAGAGTAGGATTTAGAAGAGTTGGAGAAGAGGTGTGAAAAAATGTTTAAAATTAGGAGTATTTATAGGTTTTTTTTTAACCCCCACCCCCCACCCCAACCCCCACCCCACCCCCCACCCAAACCCCCCTGACCCCCCCTGGTACACCCAACGGCTATATAGCCGTTTGGGGTAGCCGTTTGAGCCAAAAAGAATCCAAAAAAAAAATTTTTTTTTTTTAAATAGTGGACCGTTAGGCCCGGGCCCGGGCCCGACCCGGCCGGGCCGGGCCTCCAAAACCAGGACCCGAGCCCGGTCCCGCTAACCCGACCGGGTCTCTGCCCGAACCGGACCCGGACCCGCGAACCGGGCCGGTTCCGGGCCCGCACAGTGACGGGCCGGGCCGGTCCCGGGCCGGGCGGCCCGAACCGGGTCCACGCCTAATGTAACATATTTATAATATCTTTTTGCAACATTAATGGATATCAATTAATGATTTCACCCGTATTTTACGAACAGATTAATATGCATTACTTCCGGAGTATTATTTTAGTTGATTGTGATACCTCTCACTTTTTACATGTAACTATTTCATACGGAGTAACTTTTTAACCAAGACTGTGACTTGCATTTCAATGTACAATTAAAAGTGTATATATATTAGCATAGGCATTACCATTTTTCCCTCAAGGAAAGTTGAAATTTATCACCATCAAGTCATCAACATTACATCTTAAAGGAATAATCAATAGTAATAAAATAAATTTACAGTGGCTAGAAATTAACTAAAATATATCTTAAAAGTCTTTGTGCTGAAGAGAAAGACTCCAAATCATTGAATCACCCCAGTATATGGCACCATAATTCTGTGCATCATAATCTTTCTAGCATTTCTCTGCAAGAGACATAAAAAGAAAACGAATTAAACATAACAAAAGTAAATAAAATGAATCACAAAAAAAAGAATATAAAAACTATAATCAAATCAAATTTTATTGAATATGAAGTACATATTACTATAGTGATCCAGAGTAACGTAGCACAATTACAGTTACCTGATCACTTTGTCACACAAGTTCTCATGTACCTATAAATATAAAATACATTAGATTAGAAAGAGGAAATTGTATCATTAAAAAAAATGTAATTCCTTACCTTATTGTGCTGGTCAGTATTGTGTCTATAATATTTTTTTCATGACAACACCCTGCCATTTGTTCCTAGCTTTCAGTATTGATTTTCCCTGATTAAAAAAAATCAGGTTCAAAATATTAACTATGTTAAAGTAAATACTTATAATAACAAGAATAATAATGTAATGATAATAAGAAAAGTAAATCATAAACTTAGCTGATCCAACATCTTTCACAGTCATGATTTTGAGATCCAAGAATACATGTCTAAATGAGACAACAAAGCTAAAAAAGATGCATAAAAAATAAAATAAAATAAAAACTAAAAAAGATGCATGAGTTTCTTTTCCATGAATCATGTATACCCTTTATTTGGATGCACCACCAAATCAGCTTTGTAAGCATATTTCATTTTTAATCTCATAATATGCAACCCATTTTTTACCTAACATAAACAAGTGATTGATAGTAGTTGAAAAACATCTTTAATAAAATTCCTGTGAGAACTCAAATGAGACTATTGAAAGCCTTTGTCTTATGAATTTGGATGATCATCCTCTAATTTAAAATGAGAAATATGGTCTGAACTATAAGTTACTGTCAATATAGGAAGGCATGGTTTTCTGAACAAAAACTCAAAATCAAGATATTCTTATGGAAGTTTTTGAATTCCTACCTTTTTCATAAAACTTGAGAATATTTCAGATTCAAGGACAATCCTGGTGTCTCATATGCTTTAAAGAAGAACAAACTCAGCAACATTGTGTTTACACTTGTCCTAAAGTAAAGCCTATATGGGTTTACTGTATGGGAATATTGCAGGTTGGTGTTCCTGATAACAAGAAATAAGGCTTATTTAGATTGAGGCTTGGAGCAGATCGGACTACACTAACAGGATACTTAAGGGCGTTATTCCAACAATAGTTCTTTAGCATCTTTGCAAAGGAATAGCTGCAACTGAAGCCATTTGGGATGATCAACTGTTTAATGCAATTCAAATTCATTATCAAATAAAAGCATACAATCATGATTCATCAATGGTGTGGAAGCTTTACCATGCAAAATCTCTCAATTTTAATCAAGATTTATACCAGGATCTATTTCTCATTCCCAAAACTCTAAGAGACAGTCAACCCAGAATTTTAAGTTTGGAAGAAAATTCACCTTCTCATGTTGAATGTCAATGCATATTACTCTAATGGAAGGAGCGTAGAGGGGCGGTTCTTCAAGACAACAAAAGGATGCAGCCCCATTTATCACTCAATTCTCCAGGCTAAAATGAAAGCCATTGTCACAATGATTAAAGGGTGTGAAACTTTAGTCTATACAGATTACAAAATAGAAATAGACCCTGAAGCAATCTTCAAGAATAATATGGCTAAGGAAGCTCACCACAACAACAAAAAGAGAATTTCACAGGTATATTTTCTTCTGCTTTGAATTCTCATGTTGGTAATATTTAAGATCTGTCTCAAATTTAAAGCCACAAAACAAATCTTGGATCAAAAGTATACAAAAACTATACCGAAATTATACGGAAACGAAGACAAAGTATAAAAAATTAAAAATTTATTGCATATTTTAAAATCATTTTACCTGAATATGGATGGAGAGCAGCGGAGGAAGGTGATATAGCAGAGGAAGAGCAGCGGCAGGTGCAGAGACGGCGGCACGTGCAGGAGAGGCGGCAGACGCCGGGACAGGGCGGCAACAAGTGCAGGAACGGCGGCAGGCGGAGGAGCGACATCAGGCACATGAGGGACGGAAGGGACTGGATCGGCGGCAGGCGCTTGAACGGCGGCAGGCGCTTGAACGGCGGCAAGCGAAGGAGCTACGATTTCGGCCAGATCTGGTCGCTATGGTGTTTTGCCTTGCGATATGCGATGGTTTCTGGCTTTCTGCGGGTCTCCTAATCTCCTTTGCTTTTCTTTATTAGAAAAGATCTAATATTGTAAATTAGGACTAAAGAGTAAAGAGTATTATTTTTTTTTAAAAAAAAAAAGAGCAAAGAGCATCTTATTGCCGTCAAATTGGACGAATTGGTTTTTACTTTATGTTTATATATATAAATTGAGTTGCATCCAATTGGATGTAATACCACTAATACGGAGTATTATTTAATCATGTTACATAGGTTTTATTATAATTACGTTTATTGTTTTTAGCAACACTTTCAAATAAATGTTACATAATAGTTGATAAGTGTAACACTTTTTAATAAGTGTTGCATAATTCGAATAATTTAGACGTTTTGCAACACTTATATATAATTGTTGCATAATGTTAATCGGTGACATTATAGGTAACAAAAATAAAAGTGTTACAAAGAAAATGTTACAAAAAGTCATTTTTGTTGTAGTGCATTATTCTTGAATTAATGTTGTGTTTCTAGTTATTTTTATAATTTTAAAGAAATTACTGGCTTGGAATTACGGTATGACGGTATAACGGTATTTTTCGGCATGATAAGTCCGGTATACCGAAATTTCAGAATTTTTCCACCCCTAGATCTAACTAAGAGATGAAGGGAGACAAGATTTATGATGTGCCCTCATTGTTTGGCACGTCACTGATTTGCATAGTACTCCGTATATAAAATTGACATGATTGGTATATGCCACTTTGTATTGTGAATATCCCTGTCTGTGATAATGATTTTTGTAAAATACGGAGTATAAGGAGTAAACAAAAAGACATTATTGGTGTAGTAAAAAAGAAAACTATAGTAAAAATTAAAATACAACTCAAAAAAGAAAATCTAACAAACATATTTCATCGATAAAAAAAAACATATTTCAATACCAAGGAATTAGATAGTAAAAATAAAAATAAAAAACGTGATATTATTCAGGTTAAAGACATGGCTTTTTCCAGAGCCCCACATTTTTAAGAATTTAATAACACCGCCGCCACCACACCACTCATGCTCTCTTCTTTCACCAGATCTCTTCAACTCAGTGAAGCGCATTCTACTGTATGAACCCCAATACACTTAGACCCCAAAGTACATAGACCCATATCATGGAAAGGTGGCTGCTTTCGCCAGTAGCGGCGGCGCACTGTGTGAAAGAGGAGAAAGCATGCGTGGGGTGGGTGTATGAGCATTTGGGTGACTGTCTTTGCAACTTTAGAGACGAGCTTTCCTTCGGATTGGGTGTGGTGAGCTTCCTCTTCTGGGGCGTCGCTGAAATCCCTCAGATTGTCACCAACTTTAAGACCAAGTCCAGCCATGGCATCTCCCTTCTTTTTCTCCTCACTTGGATTACAGGGTATTTCTTCCTTCTTTCCCCCCTTCCTCCAATTCTCCTTATATATGTACCCTTGTTATATTGCTTAGTTACATGTTTTTGTATGTTTTGATACAGTGACATATTCAATTTCGTAGGCTGTCTTCTTGAGCCTGCAACGGTATGTTTATCTGCATGTTTGAGATATGTTTCAAAGCTAGTTACTCCCTCCGACCCTCTTTTATCTGCTCATTTGACCCGACACGTAAATTAAGATAGTGGGATTTGTGTGGTGGAGAGTTGTGTGTAAGAATGATTTTGAACCACAAATTCTTTGACAAAATGGGAAAGTGAAGATAATTTTGGGACGGACGAAAAAGGAAAGTTTGAAGATAGTTCAGGGACGGAGGGAGTAACAGTTTTATGGGTTTGCCGTTTTCACCAGACTTTTTTATAGAATGTGTGTCCTGCTTTCGAAATCATTAAAAGAAATCGCCCTATTAGGAGTACAGAACAAGTTGGTTTCCTTGTACTGTATTTTTACAAATTAGGAATAATTACTTTCCGGAAACGGTCTCTCCCTGCTTTAGTACGGGGTAAGGCTGTGTACATCCGACCCTCCCTTACCCCACCGTAGGTGGCAGCAAAACTTCCTTTCATCTCCAAACAAACTAGTATAGTACCCGTGCATACGCACGGGAAAGAGCAGTTGGTGCATATATTTGCACTCGTGATCTAATTATTAAATATTAAAATAAAAAATAACTTTTCAAAAATAAGAGTATATGAGCTAATACAATAAAGTATAAGCCCATATAATAAATACTTAGGGAGTGTTTGCAATCACTTAAAAAAAGCACTTCTCAGCTTTTGGCTTAAAAAAGCACTTATTTACCAAACACTACCAATTTTTACTTTTGTGGCACTGAGGTAATCATGTTGATGATGAGGAATAATTACTTTAATCTTGAAGCAATATTGACAGATTATACTGTCTTATTAATGTCTATGGGAGTATGATTTCAAGATTTCCATACTCAACTCCTTTTTCGAGAAAAAATATAATACTCTTATTCAGGGAAAACACCTTATGTTTACTCCTATTTTGGGATTTCTTATCATTAATACTTTCACTCTAAAAATTGAAGTTTATCCTTCACTTCTTCTTCCAAATTGAAGTTTTGCGCCCCTTTTAACAGACTTTTCGAAATCTGGGTGCAAATATTAATGATTTTGAAGATGAGGTCCAAACTCAAATCGAAAAGAAATGTAGGATGCAAAATCCAATTTTTCCTTTTATTTGGAGTAGGGTAGGTATAAATTTTTAGGGTGCAGCCCACATCAAACATTCAAGGGACATGAATATAAGTGTCCAACTAACTTCATTCATATGGACCAAGCAGTGGAAATAGACAAGTGTACTTTAATGAACGTATTGATGCATGGATTTATGCATTATGCATATGCTCTTAAACAAAATAATTAGTCTGTTATTTTTATTGAAAATGACTTTGTTTTGATGTACTAAAAAATTATACCCCATGTCTCAAGAGAATAATAGTACAATTTATGGTTTTGGGGAAATAAGTTTGTTAAAAGGAGCATTCTATGCCTTTAAAATGGTGGTAGATGATGGTGACTAGCATTTTTCTCTGACATGCTCTTCATACTTTCTGCATGCAGTTGCCAACCCAATTATATACTGCTCTGGTAATTGTCGATGTTCCCAACTCCTAATTCAAATCAGAAGTGCATCACAATGTTAATCTGGTTATCATTTTTAGCAGCTCTATACAGTTACTACTGTGATACTTGTGCTCCAAAGCTTGTACTATGATTATCTGTACAATTGCTTGAAACACAAGGATGTCATTTCAAACCAACAGGTAAGATTGGAAAATTGGTTCTATCCTTTGTATGCATTATTCCTTATCTTTAGCTGAAGATGTTGCCTGGTTCTTGGATTAATAGATTGCTGATGTGAAGAAGCCTCTTATGCCGCAAAAATCTGGTGTCTCGGGCATTGCGATACCTAGTGGCACTGGCAGAGCATCACACAGGGTTGAGTATTACTACATGTGAGGATATGCTCTCCTTTCTTGCCAATGATTTGGTTGCAATAGCAATGGCCTTTCTGGTTTTAATGCTACCGAAATTATGGTTATTTTATTATCATTTATTATTAACAATAGTATATTAATTATAAATATTGTTATTGTTATTCTCATTATATCTATGCAGGTCTGCAAGATCATTGGCAGGCAGTGCAACTCCTCCGTTTAGGAGTAATTTATGGCCTGTTAGAAGTGGACCTCCGGCTCTGGATACTGAAAATGATGTCCCTTCGGATGATGAAAATGCGGAGGCAGCATCCAAGAATTCAGTTACCCGTGCTAAGGCTATTCCACGATCTGTAAGTGCCACCTCTTCTCTCTGCAGTTATGTTATTGCAGTGAGTTTGATTTAGAGGGGACAGGAAATTCCAACAATCTATAATATGAGTATTGTAGATATTCAGTGGTGTCAAGCAGTTAAAGTATGTGTCATTATGAAAAAGTATTGTGTAATCGAGATCAGTGGCGGAACCAGCCCGGGGATATTGGAGGGGCACATATCGGGAAAGGAAAGGTCTTCGGCAAGACGGGCGACTTGCTACGACTCTAGATTTCCGGTCTCCGGCAAGATCGGCCGTCGCAAGAGGAAATGCCGAAGAGGCTGCGACGCTATGAGCCGTACGGAAGCGGCTGTGTTCGCCGTCTAAGCTGTTGTGCATGGCTTGCTGCTAAACGGGGGTTTCCGAAAGGCGGGAAAGGGAGCCGAGCAGCTTTTTATTTTTATTTTCTTTTATTTTTATTTCAGTGGTTTGAGAACGGTAATAAATGTCGGGAAAATATGACATGTATATTATTAATAGAGTTCCCCTTGATAAAACTATTACTAGTTATGTATTTTGGACAAAAATATGACTCGTCACTATGTACGAGTAATTGAACAAGAGTCATTATAGCGCATTTCAAAGTGACCACTAATAAGAGCATCTTCAATGCCACAATATGCACGGTGCACATGTGGCATGAGAGATATAGACACAAAATATTGATTTTATGACATTTCTCTCTCCTTCTTTCCACGGTCTTATGTGTTTTTGGTAAGTTTTTCTCTGCAATGTCAACCACAATGTCTACATCTAGACATTGTGCTTGACATTGTGAAGAAAAACTTACCAAAATGATGCAAGATCCTTCAAATAAGGAGAGAGATATTCTATGTATTGTTTTTTAATTGGTTATTTCTCATGCCACGTATGCACCGTTAACGTTTTAGCATTGAAGATGTTCTAACTAGTCACTGAATATGTAACTTTTTCAGAAAATTTTAAAATAAATTGTTTTTTTTCTTTTAAATTTAATCGAATAGTATTCAATAAAAAAGGGCTTTTTCCTTTGATTCTATTTCCTTCTCCTAGCTTGATGCCAACA